GAATAATATTCATTTTGAGAATATTCACCTTTCCCCAAAGGGTGAAATTTAATGACTCCCATCTATTGATATCTACCGAAACCTCTCTATATATTTTATTTATATTACATGTTACTAACTGAGTTATAACCTTTGGTATACATATACCCAGATATTTAATGGATTTGGTACAAATATGGAATTGATATTCCTTAAATGGATGGATAACCAAATTTTCGCCTGTTGGCAGCAATTCTGATACCCTGCTCTTTTACTAAAGCCATCTATCATTTGCATCAACAATGGAACAGTGTGAGGTTTAGAAATAAACAGAAGAATGTCATCTGCAAATAAAACCGGTTTATGTTCAACTGAATTATGTACTATTCCATAAATCCTCCTATGTTGTCTAATAACACAAGCCAAGGGTTCCATGCAAATATCAAAAAGCAAGAGTGAAAGTGGACATTCTTGTCTAGTTCCTCTACACTGTAAATAGTGAGAAAGTAGGAGAAAACATGCCATTAAACTTTACTTTAGATGTGGGCAACTCATATAATATCTTAATCCAGTTTATGAAATCCAAAGGAAGTCTGAATCTGCTTAGTATGGCAAACATGTACTTTTTATATATTTTATCAAAGGCTTTTTCAGCATCTAATGATAAAATTACAAATTGATCTTTATTTCTGCCTTATTTTAAAAGCTTCTACACCTGCATTTTTTTTCTGAACTCTTTTTTGTTTATGTTTTGGTTATTTTGAGATAGAAAGTCTGGGCATACTGCCAATTCTACTATCTATTTTTAACATATAATACATTTCCTTCAACTAGTAATGTTTGAAACTATTTTGTAATTTTCACTGTAAGAAGAGAAATGAAACCACCATGCCATCCCCTTTGAAAAGTCATCAAGTTCTGTGATTTTCTTTTTCTTTCTTCTTCTTCTTCTTTTTTTTTTTAGGATTCTTTTTAATCTTTTTAACAATGTTAGTTGCTTGTTCTTTTAGTTTTTTGCATATAATCACATTTTTCTTTTTTCTTTTAAGTATAAATTCTATATATATGTAAGAGAATGGTATTTAAACACTAAATTGAATCTTTATGGAGGTTCTATGTTTGTGAGCAATACTAGAAAATATGTTAAATATTTAAACATAGAAAAATTTATAATTAGATATTTGTTAAATGGTGCAGGTCATAAAATGAATTGATACTGGGAGAATACTGATGAGTGGGCCAAAATAAAATTAATGGATGAAGTTAGTTAGCCTTCTGTAAAAGGGCTGCAAGAATCTAAGAAACAAAATATAATCTTATGAATAATTTTTAATACTATCAACCTTACATCACCAAATTCAAGAATGTAATGTATCTGATCACAGTGCAATCACCTTTGAATGTGTGTTTCAGAAACCAGTCAAGGTTGAGAAATTGGTATTTCAATGTCTCCCTATTGAATGATAAATAATTCATACAGCAAATGCGGGTAGAGACCTCACAATTCAGAAACATCAAGTGTCCAAATTTTTGAATGGGAAGCATATAAGGCATACATCTGAAGTTAAATTAATGCTTATGCATCATATAAAAATAAGATTAAAAATAAAAGGGAAAATAATTTGAAAGACGAATTGAAACATTTATGGGCACAGATGATTAGATGCCCATCTACAATTTTGTACAGAGAAATACAGAAAAAGAAATATGAATTAACTAC